AGGTGAATTTCTGCCACATCCCAGAGCCAAATATTTTCTAAGTAAATCTATTTTAGTCAGAAGGTGGAGAAAGGGAGTGTAATGTAATGCAAGTAATGATGCCATTCTTATTGTGGTTAGAAGTGTTATCATGCATGTGCAGTAGTGCTACTGAACTGAAGGACAATTTAGTGGAAAGAGTGTCTCCCCAGGTCCCCTTCATTTTCCCTCCCCGCGTCTTGAAGCTGACTGCCCTTTAGCTTCAATCACATTTAGTTACACAAATGCAAACGAACCTTAGTGCATCTATAAATGATTATTCAGGGACCCGTGCTGGAGCTGGAGGCAGTACAACAAGTGAAGCAGCTTATGGCTATCTTGGAGACGATGGGGAGGTGTGTAACCTTACCTAGATAATTCAGTGGACCATATTCAAATGTTTCATTTCACAAGGAAGGTTAACAAATTAACAAGTACATCCAATGATCCTCACTTTAAGAGGCCTAATTGATCTTGAATGTTTAGGACATTTTACTGTTCCTTTTAGAGTACAAACAGACATAAACAAAACCTTACCAATTCTCAGACTTGGTATTCTCAACAAGCTCCATTAACATCGTCATCCATCTTATGGCTAGCTTTGTATAAATTGTTCCAAGCTAACATGCTTGCTTATTAATGCTACATATCACACTCCCTCTCCTAAAATGAAGTATGGATGGGTGTGCTCCCCTTACTTGGGACTGTAGGTTTTATTCGTCTTCTGGGACTGAGAATTTGTTCTTTTGATTTTTATCATGTATGCAGTTTTTAAAAAATGAGAGAGATTTGATATGCCAAGATTTCTTTTAACATTATTCATGTTTTGTTCATACAGGCTGGTGTTGCTATGCTTTGTGGAGATGAAGAAAATGTTTCCAAAAATTTCCAAGTTGATAATTCGGAGCTGAAATTCTCCAAGGAGAAGGCAGTTACCCTTACCATTCTGCTCAAAGCCAAGAGGTAATAGTCATCATACTAGTCAAGTTAAGTTGAATTGCTTTTGAGGAGCTAGGGGGTGAATAGGAAAATTGATCAGCAGATTCTGACAGTATTTTTGCAGATTTCGGAGACATGGTGAAATTTTTAGAGATTTATGGATCCTGCAACAGTTTGCAGTACTCATCTATTTTTTTGGTTTGGATTATGGATATTTCTCATGATAAAGTTCAGATTGTGGATCTCACTGTTTGTCAGAAATTTTTTGTGTAATTTGTTTTTTTTTATGTGCGTTACTGTAGATTTGTTTTGTCACAGACAAGACGCAACAAATGTCATAGCCCGGAAGGTGTGACAAGTTGCCAGCAGGATGTGTTGTCTTTGTGCTCTTATCAATTTGGGTTACATTACAATTTTATTACTGGGTCATACATGATACTATTTTTGAAAGTATCTTTTAGAACTTTAAACTAGTGAGAAGCAATCTGCAAACAGTTTTTGTAAAACTGGTTTCATTCTCCAATGCAGTTCATCTAACTGTTGTAGACTTCTCTAGGGGGTTTTACAAATAAACACAGAACTTTTCCCATTCCTGTTCTGTAAATCCTCCTGAGCCTCTATGGTCTTTGGCCCATGAAATAGCCACTAACTATTGATTATAAATAGAGGTGTTTTGTATTTTCTTGTATAACTCCCCTGACAGTTGGAGGAAATGTGTCAGAGAATAAAACAAGTTTTACAACAACTGTTTACAGAGTGGTGCTCGCTAGTTTAATTTTGAAAAAGTTTGAAATTAAAAAAAAGAATTTTTTTTTTAATTTAAAAATTTGTCCCATTCAGTTATTTAAAGGTCTTCTAAAAAGCATGAGAATGTTTTTTTTTTAATTGTTTAGCTTACACACAAAAGCTCAAGTTACATTTTACACAAATTCCTATTTGTCAAGAAGGAAATGGATTCAGATTTAGCATTTTTTTAAATTGATGTACAGATTTTGGTTATTAACTGACAGTAGATGTGTAGATCTGTATACCCCAATTCACCCCTCCCCTTAAGGACTCCTGCGGTTGGAGCCTTTGAACGTAACTTTGTAGTTAAACTGAACCTTTTTGAACATCAGCATAATCACAACTGAAAAGCTTAGAGCAAACTACCCACCTCATTTTTTTTCCCTTTTTTTTGGACAAAGGATAATTAAGACTTTTGCTGGCTCACACTCAGTTTTGAAGAAATAATAATTATACTAAAGGTTTTTCCCTTTTCAAAGGCATTTGAGTCTTTTCATGCATCAGAAATCTAGATCAAAAGAATTTTTTATTATTCATATAACAATGAAAGTACCAGAGCTATGATGTTTTGCCAGGAAAAAGGATTTGTCACATTGGTCATTTCTTTAAAATAAGGCACAAACCAGTTAAGAAAAAGTTGAGAACCACCTCAGTCTACTAATACTTGTTACCAATTAAAGCTATTTTTTCATCTACAGCTGCAGTAAAAAAAATTGAAGAAACAAAGGATGGGACACTCATTCCCTGTGTCTACATTTGAATTGTGAACTTGAACCCCTCATTGATAATTGTCCATCATTTTTTGGCGAATAAATTAATGTTGTATAATGATAAACATCTATCCACTGAAGTGATTCTTTTTCTCATTAACTGCAGTATGGGTGCCACAGGAGGTGCAACCTGTTCACAGCCTTACTTTCCATTAGGAGCATGCTCAGGGGCAACAGGGCCAAAGTCCACTCCATGCCCACCTCCAGTACCTGACTGAAGATGTTGC